CGTTTTACCTGAATTACGGACAAGACCCAACAGTACCCATGACCCCAAATCCCGACAACCCCGTTCCACGTGCACAACAATTCGCTGAGATTTTGCAAGCAGTAAGCACCAGGGCAGCAGAAGCAATAAAAAAATCGAACATCATCGCTAAACGCAACGCCGACCGCCACCGCAGACCTGTCACTTATCAGCCCGACGACCTCGTTTTACTCGACACCCAAAACCTCCGCCTGCCCGTCACTCCAAAACTCCGCCCCCGATACTGTGGGCCATTTCGAATTAGCCACATGATCACACCGGTCAGTGCACACCTCCTCCTCCCTGCTGACTGGTACGTCAGCCCCTCGTTCCACGTCAGCTTGCTTCGCCCCTACGTACCGTCCGCCGGCCAACTCCCACGACATCGACCATCCAGCATGACACGACCACCATCCGAACCTATCATCACCCCCGACAAAATCCTGAGTCACAGAGTTCGCGACCCCCGAGGAGCTCGAAAGATCGAGTTCCTGATCCGCTGGAAAGACCGAACACCTACCGAGGATAACTGGGTTCCCCTGGACAGAATTGAAAACCACCCTGTCCTCACCGAATATCTGCGCAGCCGAAACCTCGAAGACGTCCACGCACTTTCGTAAGAGGGACCTCCTTAGGAGGGGGGGTAGTGTAAGGAAAATCCCTTTTCCTTACTTCGCATCCCTGCTCAACGCGTACATCACTGTAGCACCTCAGTCAGCACTGTTACCACTCGCGATCATCGCATCGACAATCATCCCGCCATTTTCGCACATCGCATCCCGACCTCACGGCTCGGCGGGTAACCCGCGCCCCGGGCCTACGCTTCGACATTTTCCCAACCTCAGTCCCAGGCTCGTCGCGCGACAACCACAGTCCATTACCGTTACCACTGTAGTTTCGCTATATATTCTTCGCTCATGCCTTCGCTCATTGTATTCTTGCTTCGATAGTGCAATTCTCGTTCGTTCACTCAATTGCACTCGTAACACAACCAATCAAATGAATCACTCTTATCACACTAGCTGAAATGGTTGTGATGATTGGAAATTTTTTTTTTATAGATCTACGAATACAAGTCAGTACGGTATCTGGTCTTGATTAACTTACATAGTGCGTGCAAAGTACATGAATCTAAAGAATGTGATTACAACTTGTTGGAAACAATCGATCTTAAGCGCCTCTGTCGTGTCCAAACACTAAGGCACAAACGAAGCGAAGCATATCGAATCACCGGCGAGTCAACCCTCGGAGGTTGAAAGTAACTATTGGAGGTTACGTGAAAGTCAAAGGTCAGCGACCTTTGACCTGACAAGTACAGCGCGACAGCAAGTACACACAACTGACTCGCTACAGAGCAGTTGCCCGAGTCGTCACTGTATCGAATCGCAACAGCAACAGTAAAGTAGTTACAACCGCATCTCTTCGTATTCCTTGTACTCTTAAATAATCTTGTATCTCTCTTTTTTAATCAATCTACTTTGCCCTCACATACTAGCGCAAGGTGGTTCATTATACTTCATTAAACGCTTCCGCAATTACATCAGTCTTACCCAGAGTTCACCCCTGCAAAGATCCTAAGGGTTTTCTCAACCCAACACAACTAAGTCCGACGATACAATGAAAGTAACGGGGTTAAACGGGGAGATTCCTACCTAGTTGGAGACGTTGGGCAAAGATGGGTCGGAAGGGTTGCGATTGGTGCGGGGTGACTCAGGTGAGAAGAATTGAACGAGAATGAATGAACTATGAATGAAGTGAGTACAAATAGGAAACCCTAATTGAGTTGTACCCCCTATGGGATACCCCACTATAGCCTACACAAATGAGTAAGCTATAATGTTCTGACACACCCCCATAGGCAAAGTGGGGGAGAACAAGGGGTCACAAGACCAGTCAAGCAAAGCAAAGCAAAGCTCAGGGTGGATCACAAAGTCACCACACATTCCGAGCACAAGTTCAAGGGCCACAAGGCCAGTTCACATGCAAGATCATATATAGAGATATACAAGAGTCAAGCAAGCAAGAGCAAGAGTATATATAGGTCAAGGTACAAGCAAGGTCAAGAAGTGAGCAAGTGAGGCAAGCACAAGACCCAGCTGCGTGCAGCAACGCTGATGATCACAAGGCGCAAGTGCCTTGGTGAAGACATCAGCAGTGTTGGCCTCAGAGGCCACGTACGCAAGTCGCAACTGTCCACGCTGCTGTAGCTCACGAGCAAGAAAGTAGCCGAGAGCAATGTGCTTTGTCCTGTGCTCCAGTCGCTGCTCTCGACACAAGGCCAGCATGGCCTTGTTGTCTACGTACAGGACTGGAGGAGAACGAGGCGGCTCTCCAAGGTCGGTCAGCAGGTAGGTGAGCCAGCGAAGCTCCTGAGCAGCCATAGCCCCGGCGTAGATCTCAGCCTCATAACTGGAGCCGAGAACAGAAGACGAGCGGGTAGCCCGCCACGAAACAGAGCCGGAACCAAGGCTGAAGGTGTAACCCTGTGACGACCGCTGCGTAGCCTGGTCGTCAGCCCAAGAAGCGTCCGCGTGCCCAGTGAGGACCACTGGACTGCGCCCTCCAAGCACTAGCCCCATGCCCGACGTACTGCACAAGTAGCGCAACACCCTCTTCGCGGCAGCCATGTGCTCTGGTCGGTGTCTCCTAGGAGCAACATAGCGTGCGAGAATGCTAAGAGGGTATGCAAGGTCAGGTCGTGTGTGCGGAGATAACTACAGCAACGAGAGCTAGGCTACGGGCTAGGCACGTGTGCTCGTGTGATCTTTGCGTTCTCTGTTCCTTAGTCGTTTTCCTTGTGCGCACACTACTTGCTAGTTCACGGGGAAAATTGGCAAGAGTTTCACTAGGAAAAGTTCAGAACAATTGGTACAATGAAGTTGGCATAGCAAGACTACATCAGAGCAAGCATTCAGGTCGGCCAACTGCCAGCGCAACTTGGTCGACCGCGTTCCAGCACGACTTGGTTGGCCGCACTCCAGCAAGGCAAGGTCGATGGCGTGCCAACGTTGCAGGACAGCAGTGCACCTGCTTCACAGGTGCGCACAGATGATTGGCGTGCAGAGTCCTGTCACCTCTGATCCGCCACGACGACCTCGGGATACCACTACCGAGGTCGGTCTCGCCAACTTCGCCTGGGAGACCGTCGCACTCCCAGGTAACCTAGTCGACCGGGCAACCATGTCGACCAGCAGCTCCCGTACGTGCCCGTCGACCTCCCAAGTCGACGACCACCTCCACGTCGACCCCCTCCAGGTCGATGTCCCCTCCGGTTGACCAACTCCATGTCGACCAGTACTCCTGGTCGACCTGCTCCTCGTCGACCAGCATAGTCGTCGGCCGACCACCCACGTCGGCCACCCGAAGTCGACGTCACCAAGTTGACGTCCTCTGCAGGTCGACTCCCAAGTCGACCTCCCTGAAGTCGGCGCCACCCTAAAGTCGGCGCCCGTGCAGTGGTCCCCCGTGCAGGTCGACCTCCTCGTCGACCAGCTCACCCACTGCTGCAGGTCGGCTGCTCCCCTCACACCCGACCACGAAGTCAGCTCCGCCCAAGTGAGGACGGGGCCAATACCCTACTCCCGTTGACACTCCCCTGCCGCGTTCACGCTTGGGCACCCAGCCCACACGGCAGTACAGCTCGGAGACTAGCTCGTCGACGTGCACCCAACACATAGCACGTCGTCCACCGCACCAGCCATGCAAAAGGGCATGGCACCTACTGCTGCACGTCGTTGTCGCCGTCGCCCACGTCGGCCAAGCGCACTTGGCCGATTGCGACGGAACACCGGTTGAAGGCCGGATAGTGCAGCGCCTTCGTCAGGAAGTCGGCCGGCTGCTCAGCGGTCGGGATGTACTACAACGAGAACTTCCCGCGCCTCACCATGTGCTGCAGCCAGGCCTGTCGCTGTTCCATGTGCTTGAGGTTGCCCGTCAACCCCATGCCCTCGGCGACTGTGATGGCCGACTTGTTGTCCACGCGCAGGACAGTCGGCTTCCCGGCATCCAGCTGCAGGAACTCTGCGAGGAGGAAGCGAAGGCGGCGTCCCTCCTTGCCAGCTTCAGTGGCCGCCACGTACTCCGACTCGGTCGATGACAGTGTCGCGCACTTGATGCGCTGGCTCGACCAGGAGACTGCAGCCCCTCCGTAGACGAACACGTAGCCGCTCGTGCTCGTCCGGTTCTGCTTGTCACCGGCGTCGTCGGCGTCCACGTAGCCGACCAGCTCCAGCGACTCAGGTCCACCGCCTAACTGCAGGGCGGTGTCACGTGTGTTGGCGAGGTAGGCTAGGCAGCGGTCGACCTTGCGCCAGTGCTGGTCGCTCCTCACCGTGAGGCCGCTCCCCAGCTTGCTGCAGGCGAAGGCGACATCCGGTCTCGTCGTCGTCGCCGCGAACTGCAGCGAGCCGACCTTCTGCCGGTACTCCTCCTCCTGCCGTTCCTGCGCCTCCTCGTCATCGAAGGTAAGCTCTGCGTAGGCACCGACCGAGACCGGTGTCTTCGGGGTGCGCCCGGTCTGCTCCTCGTCGAGGAAGCGCCTACGCAGCTTGTCGGCGTAGCCCTGCTGATGCAGCCACTGTCAGAATGAGAAACGAGAATGAGGAGTGACTAGCAGGAACAACAGTACAAAAATGTCAAACCCTAATCTGGTGTACCCCTTATGGTGTGACCCACTACAGCCTAGAACCACACAAACATATAAATGTTTGACACACCCCCATAGGCAAAGTGGGGGAGACCTAGGGGTCACAAGACCAGTCAAGGCAAAACCAAGGCAAACAAGCTCAGGGTGGATCTCGAGGATTCCACACAAATTCCGAGCACAAGCAAGCGGTCACAAGACCAGTTCACATGCAGTTTTATAATAGAGCAAGAGGTACAATGATCACAACCTAACAAGGCAAACATGCAGGTATATATATAATGATCACAGTACAGGTAAAGTCAAGAAGTAAGTAAGTGAGAAACAGTCGGCACAAGGCCTAGAAGAGTGCAAAAACGGGCGGAAGCGCCTTGGTGAACACATCAGCAGTGTTGGCCTCAGTGGCCACGTAACGCAGAAGAAGCTGACCACGCTGCTGTAGCTCTCGAGCTAGAAAGTAACGCAGAGCAATGTGCTTCGTCCTGTGCTCCAGTCTGTGCTCCTGGCACAAGGCAATGGTTGCCTTGTTGTCGACGTACAACACTGGAGGAGAACGAGGCTGCTCTCCAAGGTCAGTCAGCAGGTAGGTGAGCCAGCGAAGCTCCTGGGCAGCCATGGCCGTGGCGTAGATCTCAGCCTCACAGCTGGAGCTGAGAACAGAAGAAGAAAGAGTAGAACGCCAAGAGACAGAGCCAGAGCCAAGACTGAAGGTGTAACCCTGAGACGACCGCTGAGTAGCCTGGTCGTCTGCCCAAGAAGCGTCTGAGTGCCCAGTGAGAACAGGCCGGTCTCGCCCTCCAAGCACTAGCCCCATGCCCGACGTACTGCACAAGTAGCGCAACACCCTCTTAGCTGCATCCATGTGCTCCTTCCGGTGACGGCCGGGAGCAACATAGCGTGCTAAGATGCTGAGAGGGTATGCTAGGTCAGGTCGAGTGCAGGTCATCAGGTACATGAGGCAGCCCACAAGCTCTGGATACGGACCACTCGACTCTACGGACTCATCCGAAGGCAGAGCTGAGAGCGAGTGACCCGTAGGCAGAGGAGTGGACTGAGGCGAGGAGTACGTGAAGCCGAAGCGCTGAAGGACCTGCTGCACCATGTGTGACTGAGTCAGGGTAATGGTGCGGCGTGCTCTGTCCCGGGTGATCCGCAAGCCAAGATAGCTTGTCAGTTCACCCAGGTCTGTGCACGTGTGTCTCTTATGCAGCTCGGACTTCACGTGGGCGAGTGCGGCAGTGTCCGCAGTGGCAAAGACCAAGTCGTCGACGTACACGAGGATGTAGAACGGCGGCAGCGAGGTGTCGGTGCGCAGAAACAGCGACGGGTCAGCAGTAGAAGGAGCAAACCCAAGAGCCGCAAGTGTAGTCCTCAGTGTGTCGTGCCACTCACGCGGCGCCTGGCGGAGACCGTAGACTGGCCGCCGGAGGCTCCACTGGGTGCCAGGAGGGAACGACCCAGTGAAGCCAGGTGGGCGGCGCAGCCAGATCTCCTCGTGCAGGCTGCCCTGCAAGAAAGCTGTGCTGAAGTCAAGAGAGTGGAGCTCGTAGTCACGCTGAGCGGCGACGTGTAGCAGAACCCGAAGAGTGGTCATCTTCGAGGTCGGGGAGAAGGTCTGGAAGAAGTCAACTCCCTCTCGCTGACTGAAGCCTCGTGCAACGTAACGCGCCTTGAAGACAGGCGGAGAGCCTGGCGGCCGCTTCACCCTGAAAATCCACATGCCACTGACGATGTTCGCCCCAGGTGGGGGAACGTCGTCGACGTAGGTGCCTGTGGACTTCCAGGAAGCCATCTCTGTGTCCATGGCTGACTGCCACTGAGAGGAGTAGGGACCGGCCATCGCCTCTGCGTAAGAGCGTGGGGTCGGGATGTCTGGTGCATCCGGGTCTCCCTCAGGGGCAACAAGCATGGACACGAGATGGGGCAAAGCAGCGGCAAGGCAACAAAACTCCTCCTGCCTGTCCTCAAGGACGTCCGTGCCAAGAGCACACTCACCCCCGACGGACGGAGGACAGGCAGACTCAGACTCAGCAACAAGACTCGCTGCGTAGTCTAGACGACACGCAGCTGCAAAGTCGACAAGCTCAGTGACTAGGGCAGACGCAGCAGCGGACTCAAAGGAAGGGTCAGTGACAACCGTAGCCAGGAGACGTGTGACAGTAGGACTGGCAGCGCGAAGGGAGTCTGACTCCGGGTCAGCAAGAGCAGGAAGAGAGGACGCAGGAGGCAACGTGAGAGCAACACGCTGCGGAGCAGTGGACTGACGAAGCGCCATCCGGTGCGTGCCTGGGACAGCAGGAGGACGCTCACGCGGGACACGACTACCAGTGGTAGCAGCTCAAACAGGCGACGCTCGACGAGACGCAGGTGACACAGGACGTGACGCAGGCTCACGTCTCTCAGCAAGACCGTCAGTCGGACCAGTGTAAGGAGCAGGCACAGGGAGTGGTGAGGCAGGCGGTAACTGTGGCTGTGACTGGACAGACGGCGGACACTCTAAGGCGAGAGGAGAACAAGGAGGAGGAGGCTGACCAAGAACCTAATGAAGGAGCGGAACGAAGTTCGGTCGTGGCCGTGCAGCAGCTCTCGAACCAGCAGAGACACCAGCGGCAGCAGCAGCACCTCCAGAAGCAGCAGCACCTCCAGCACCAGGGTCCGCAGCACCTCCAGCAGCACCTCCAGCAGCACCGCCAGCAGCAGCAGTACCTCCAGCAGCACCGCCAGTAGCAGTTGCACCTCCAGCACCAGGGTCCTTAGCACCCACAGCAGCTCCAACGCCCGGGTCCTCAGTACTAGCAGCACCTCCAGCAGCACCGCCAGCAGCAGCAGCACCTCCAGCAGCACCGCCAGCAGCAGCAGCACCTCCAGCACCAGGGTCCGTAGTACTCGCAGCAGCGTCAACTCCGGGGACCCCAGCACCAGCAGCTCCACTACGGAGACTGATGTGCCGAGCGTACCACTCTCGAAGCTGAGGGGAAGAGGGCGGCTCCCGCCGTGGTGGGGAAGCACGAGTACCAACTCCAGCAGTACCACGAGCCCGAGACTCACCCCGCCGGAGGCTGCAGTACCGCGAGTACCACTCACGCAGCTGCTGCGAAGAGGGAGGTCCTCCAGGCGCCTCACAGTCAACTGCAACACCACCAGGCTCAGCACCCCCATTCTCAGCAACTCCAGGCGCAGTACCCCTAGACTCAGCAACGCCAGGCTCAGTACCCCCAAATCCAGCACCCCCAGGCTCAGCACCCCCAGGATCAGCACCCCCAGGCTCCGCCCGCTCAGGCTCCGCACGCTCAGGCTCCGCACGCTCAGGCTCAGCACCTCCAGCAGGACGCGAGTCGACAGCTACCTCGGCAGGCTCAACCGGGTCTACCTGAGAGACACCTGAGGGAGCGGCACACTGAGGGGGAAGGGGGTCTACCACTGCAGCACCTGGCGCGAGGAAGAGAGGCGGGGGAGGGAGCGGGGCAGTGCGGTAGGGGAAGAGGCGGTAGAAGGGCACGGACTCGTCAAAAGTGACGTCCTGAGAGGGGAAGACTCGGTGCGAGGCGGGGTGGTAAAACTGCCAGCCAGACGCATCCGGGACAAAGCCAAGAAAGACACAGGGAGCAGTGCGGGAGGAGAGCTTGTCCGCAGACGTGTCGCGAACAAATGCTCGGGATCCCCAGACACGGAAGCGTGACGCATCGCCAACCTCCCCCGTCCACAGCAGTGTGGGCGAGGTCTCCGGAGCGGAGACACGGGGCCAGAGGTTGAGCTGATGCGCAGCGTACCGGACCGCAAACGGCCACAGAAAGTGGGGGGCAGCCGCGTGGACTAAGGAGGTACGAGCGACCTCCATGACCAAGCCAATGCGGCGCTCAGCAACCCCATTCTGCTGTGGAGAGGCCGGGAGCGTGAACGACTGGCAAATGCCATGCTCGGCACAGTAGGCTGCCAAGAGGTCGGAGGAGAACTCGCCACCTCTGTCAGAGTGCAAGCGCAGAACAGGAAACTCCGAGCGAAAACGCTCTCGCAGCTGAAGACGTGCTCTGCTGATCCAGGGGATCAGAACATTAGGGACTTCACCCTTGGTGCGCAAGGGGAAGACCGTGGTGTAGCACGAGTAGTCGTCAACGACGATCAAGAAGTACCTCTCCTGGCCCTGACCACGGACGCGGGCTGGGCCCCACACGTCCATGTGGAGCGTCTGCAAAGGAGCAGTCGTCGGGGGGAACGAGGAGGAGTGAGGGGCAGCGCGCTGCCGCCCCTCGACACAGGGAAGACAAGGAGGAGCAAGGGAGGGTGGGAGGGGAGGGAGTACCCGAGGAAGACCAGAGACAAGGTACCGGGCCTGCATGCCCCGAAGGCGCTGCACTGACGGGTGACCAAGTCGGTGGTGCCAGAGGACAGTCTTGTGCGCTAGAGAGCGACACGAGCAGGGGGCAGAGAGCTGACCTGACGCAGACGCAGACGCAGACGCCGCTACCTGAGGGGACTCAGTGGTCAGTGTGTACAGGTCCGACCCCGGCTGCCGAGTGAAGGTAGCCAGGTGACGGCCCGTCCGAGCACACGTGCAGTGTGTCACACGCTCGTAGGCAGGGGTGAACTGGTGAACACCCCCATCCTGAAGCGCACAACCCGCCACCAGGTTCGTAGAGAATGAGGGGAGGTGGAGACCTGACAGTGTGCCCGACGGGACAGCAGGACAAGGAAGGAGGGTGGAGGAGGTCGCAATGACCGGACCCCCAGAGGGGTCAGCGAGCGAGACAGCTACTGGTCGAGCAAGGGGCTCAAGAGCAGTGCGGTCACGAAAGAAACAGCGTGAAGCGCCTGAGTCTAGAGTGAAGGTGTGCAGTGCCTCAGTGGACTCAGTAGCACCTGGGGTGGCGGACACACACGCACCTAGAGCAGTAGCCTCACCAGTACCTGGGGCAGCAGACACGCAAGCACCTAGGGCGGTAGCCTCACTCGTGCGGATGCCTGGGTCAGGCGGAACACTCAGGTACTGGTCCTCCTCTCCACTAATAGTCAATGCATACATTGCTTTGAGAATAACATCAAAATCAAGAGCATAGATATCGATATCCTTCTTGAGGAGATCAGCCCACTGAGGGAGCTCAGGAGCGTCAGGAAACTGAGCACGCCAAGCGTCATCTAGGCGAGAGAAGCAGCGCTGCGCAGTGTGCGCCCTCCCGCACGTCTGTCCCTTGCGGCGACCAGTGCGGATGACGTACGTGCAGCTAAGGCTACCCCCCCCCACCCCCGTGCTGTAAGTACCACTCACGAAGCTCCTGGGAGGATTGAGGGTGCTGCGCGCTCTGGCCAGTGCCAGAGCCTCCACGACCACCACCGCCGCCTCCACCACGACCACCACCGCCCCTGCCGCCGCCACGTCCACTGCCACCACCACCACCGCCCCCACCGCGGCCACCGCCGCCGCCGCTGCCTCCACCACCTCCACCGCTGCCACCACCCCCACCACCACCTCCCCCGCCGTCACCCCCACCGCCCTTGCCTCCCCTGCCCTTGCCGCTGCGGCGCCCGCTGGGAGCGGACGCAGAGCCGACCTGCTCAGCACCAAGAAGGTCGACAGCAGCAGCAGAGGCGACAGAGGGGAGCAGGGGGGAGGGGGAACACCCCTCGAAGAAAGGGGTGTGGGGGTCGCCACGAGAGGCACCTACAGCTACAATACTCTTCTCAGCTGCAAGTAGTTCCTTCTCTAGGGCGGCAATGGTGAGCTCAGTGGGACAGCGAGCTAGGAAGTGGTCCCTGACTGTACGCAGAGTGTTAGGGAGGCGGGTGACTAGGTGGTAGAGAGTAAGCCAGAGCGGGGGAGGGTTGGAGGCAAGAAACTCAGCGGGCATGGCTGCACGGAAGCGGGCATCACTAGTACGAAGGTGAGTGATGAGGTCAGCGACTGTCTGGAAAGCGGACAGGTCGGGGAACAGGTAGGGAAGGGAGAGACGGCCTAGTGCAGCTGAGGCCGGGGAGGAGTAGCGCGCAACTACAGCAGTGTACAGGGCCTGCGCAGTCTGATGCTGGCCGAAGTGCTCACGCTCATCGACTGGCAGGGAGTTGCGAATGGCAAAGCGGGCGTGGGCATCGCGAGTCTGCCACTGCGAGCGAGCAGTAGCGGTAGCAGTAGTAGCAGGAGCAGGGACTGTGCCTAGTGCGTGATCGTACAGCGAGATATCCTCTCTGGCAGTGAGCTGGAGGAACAGGTGCAGATCATCGAGCCAGGTATCAAACTTAATCGGGCGGCCCTCAGAATCGAACGAGAGAACTGTAGGGCTAGCCATAGCTGAAGTAGCAGTAGCAGCAGTGGTGGTAGTAGCAGTAGCAGTAGCAGTAGCAGTAGCAGTGCTGTGCACAGGTAAGTAGGGCGCGGCTCGGCTAGGGCGGCGCGGCTCGGCTAGGGCGGCGCGACTCGGCTAGGGCGGCGCGACTCGGCTAGGGCGGCGCGGCTCGGCTGGGGCGGCGCGGCTCGGCTGGGTCGCGCGGTTCGGTTCGGGTCGCGCCGTGCGGCTCGGTCGTAGAGGGGCGAGCGCGGGAGGGCCGGTCGGGGCTAGCGCGGGGCCAAAGGGGGGGGGGCCGTGAGAGGCTAGCGCGGGGCCTGCAGGGGACGTGGGAGGCTAGCGTGGGGCCTTAAGGGGCCGTGAGAGGCTAGCGCGGGGCCTGCAGGGGCCGTGGGAGGCTAGCGCGGGGCCGACGGGGGCCTTAGGAGGCTAGCGCGGGGCCGATCGGGGGCCTTAGGAGGCTAGCGCGGGGCTAGCGTGGGGCGGACAGGGGCTTAGGAGGCTAGCGCGGGGCCGACGGGGGCCTTAGGAGGCTAGCGCGGGGCCGATCGGGGGCCTTAGGAGGCTAGCGCGGGGCCGATCGGGGGCCTTAGGAGGCTAGCGCGGGGCTAGTGTGGGGCCGACGGGGGCCTTAGGAGGTTAGCGCGGGGCCGATCGGGGGCCGTGAGAGGCTAGCGCGGGGCCATACGGGGCCTTGAGAAGGAGGCGCTCGAGGCGCAGGAAAAAGAACGGCGGCGCACGAGGGCGCGGCTAGCGGAAACGGTGGGCCCTATCGTTTCGGTCCTAGGTGGAACCTAGGCTCGTAATACCATGTCAGAATGAGAAACGAGAATGAGGAGTGACTAGCAGGAACAACAGTACAAAAATGTCAAACCCTAATCTGGTGTACCCCTTATGGTGTGACCCACTACAGCCTAGAACCACACAAACATATAAATGTTTGACAGCCACAGCTTCCCAGCCGACCTGTCGCGCACGATCTCCAGCCCGAGGTACTTCTGCACCGGCGAGATCTCGCGCAGCTCGAAGGCGGCTTCCAGCAGCTCCTTCAGCTCCTTCAGCATCGCGGCGCTGCTGCTGGCGGCAAGCAGGTCGTCGACGTAGACCAGTACCCAGCAGGCCACTCCACCCTCGCCGACCTTGAAGAAAAGAGCCTCGTCGACCTGGCTCTTCTTCCACCCGGCGCCGACCAGCACATCGTTGAGCGCCAAGTACCACAACAGCGGCGACTGCTTCAGCCCGTACAGGCTCTTCAGCAGCTTACACACCCGGCCGGTTCCGTCGTTGAAGTAGTCCGGCTGAGACATGTACAGCACCCGATCGAGCTTGCTCTGCAGGAAGGCGTTCTTCATGTCGAGCTGCATCAGGTTGAGGTTGAGGACAGCGACGATGCTGAGGAAGATCCTCAGCGTGACGTAGCTGCTCACCGGCGCGAACGTCTCGTCGTAGTCGGCGCCGTACTTCTGTGTGAAGCCCTTCACGACCAGCCTCGCCTTCTCTTGCTCGACGGTGTCGTCGATGTGGTACTTCGTCGTCAACACCCACTGGTTCTTCATGACGTTCACCCCCGGCGGGCGTTCGACCAGCTCCCAGGTGCCCATGTTGATGAGGCTGCGGATCTCCTCCTCCATGGCGGCCTTCACCGCCGGGCCCTTCCAGCTCGCCAACGCCTCCTTCACCGTCATCGTCGAGATGTCCCAACGGTGCTCGGGGTCAGCTAGCATGTCGGGGTCGAGCTCCGGAAACTCCTCATCCTCCTCGGCGTCGTCGTACAGCAGGTCGTCGTCATCGTCCACGTCATACACTGTGGTGAAGGCAGCGGGGACGAAGAAGTCAGGCGGCCTCCGAAGTCGGCCTGAACGCCGTGGTCCTTGCTGGACCTCCGCGGCGTCCCAAGTCGACGACCACCTCCACGTCGACCCCCTCCAGGTCGATGTCCCCTCTGGTCGACCAACTCCACGTCAACCAGTACTCCTGGTCGACCTGCTCCTCGTCAACCAGCATAGTCATCGGCCGACCACCCACGTCGGCCACCCGAAGTCGACGTCACCAAGTTGACGTCCTCCGCAGGTCGACTCCCAAGTCGACCTCCCTGAAGTCGGCGCCACCCTAAAGTCGGCGCCCGTGCAGTGGTCCCCCGTGCAGGTCGACCTCCTCGTCGACCAGCTCACCCACTGCTGCAGGTCGGCTGCTCCCCTCACACCCGACCACGAAGTCGGCTCCGCCCAAGCGAGGACGGGGCCAATACCCAACTCCCGTTGACAGTGTGCAGGTCATCAGGTACATGAGGCAGCCAACAAGCTCTGCATACGGGCCACTCGACTCTACGGACTCATCCGAAGGCAGAGCTGAGAGCGAGTGGCGAGTAGGCAGAGGAGTGGCCTGAGGCGAGGAGTACGTGAAGCCGAAGCGCTGAAGGACCTGCTGCACCATGTGTGACTGAGTCAGGGTAATGGTGTGGCGTGCTCTGTCCCGGGTGATCTGCAAGCCAAGGTAGCTGCGCAGTTCACCCAGGTCTGTGCACGTGTGTCTCTTCTGCAGCTCGGACTTCATGTAGGCGAGTCCAGCAGTGTCAGCTGTGGCAAAGACCAAGTCGTCGACGTACACGAGGATGTAGAACGGCGGCAGAGAGGTGTCGGTGCGCAGAAACAGCGACGGGTCAGCAGTAGAAGGAGCAAACCCAAGTGCCGCCAGCGTAGTCCTCAGTGTGTCGTGCCACTCACGTGGCGCCTGGCGGAGACCGTTGACTGGACGCCGGAGACTCCACTGGGTACCAGGAGGGAAAGACCCAGTGAAGCCAGGTGGGCGACGCAGCCAGATCTCCTCGTGCAGGCTGCCCTGCAAGAAAGCAGTGCTGAAGTCGAGAGAGTGCAGCTCGTAGTCACGATGAGCAGCAACGTGCAGCAGTACCCGAAGAGTGGTCATCTTCGGGGTGGGGGAGAAGGTCTGAAAGTAGTCAACTTCCTGCCGCTGACTGAAACCACGAGCCACGTAACGCGCCTTGAAGACAGGCGGAGAACCCGGCGGCCGCTTCACCCTGAAGATCCACATGCCACTGACTATGTTCGCCCCAGGAGGGGGAACAGCGTCAAGGTAGGTGCCTGTGGACTTCCAAGAAGCCATCTCTGCATCCATAGCTGCCTGCCACTGAGAGGAGTAGGGACCCTCTATCGCCTCCGCGTAAGAGCGCGGAGTCGGGATGTCTAGTGCATCCGGCTCTCCCTCAGGGGCGAGCAGTACAGACGCGAGATGAGGTGAAGCGGCGGCCAGACACTGGAACTCCTCCTGCCTGTCCTCAAGGACGTCGGTGCCAAGGGCACACTCACCCCCGACGGACGGAGGACAGGCAGACTCAGACTCAGCGACAAGACTAGCGGCGTAGTCTAGACGACAGCGTGCAGCAAAGTCGACGAGCTCAGTGACAAGGGCAGACGCAGCAGAAGACCCGAAAGAAGGGTCAGTGACATCAGTAGCAAGGAGACGCGTGACAGTAGGACTGGCAGCACGAAGAGAGTCCGACGCCGGGTCGGCAAGAGCAGGAAGAGAGGACGCAGGAGGAGCAGGCAAAGGGGCACGCAGAGGAGCAGTGGACGGACGCAGAGACATCCGGTGCGTGCCAGGGACAGGAGGAGGACGCTGACGCGAACCGCGACCACTAGTGCGTGCAGTACGAACAGGCGACGCAGGACGAGACGCAGGCTCACGACGCTCAGTAAGACCTCCAGTCGGACCAGCGTAGGGAGAAGGAGCAGGCAAAGGGGAGGCAGGCTGTAGCTGTGACTGTGACGGGACCGGCTGTGGACCCTCTAAGGGAGGACCAGGAGAAGGTGTAAGACCAAGAACCTGCTGCAGGAGCGGAACGAAGTACGGTCGGGGCTGCGTGGCGTTGCCAGAAACAGCAGGGACAGCACCAGTACCCCCAGCAGGAGTACCCGCTCCAGCAGCACCTCCAGCAGCACCAGAACCTCCAGCAGCACCTCCAGGCATTCACTTGGAAGCCGATAGTACCACCCAGGAGTTCAAATTATACCACGGGAAGGGCGGCCTCTACATCGGAAAGGCGGTCCTGAAGAACAACGTCTTCGTCCTTGACTTCGTCCCAGACCTGGGCACCGCAGACAGCGACGCCATCGTGAACTTCGCCGACTGGACACACCCCCCGGATCTCGACCCCGACTTCAGCCCAGAGGGCTTCTGGTATTCGCATACCATCTCTGAAGCAGAACGAACACGCGCGCTAGCAACAATTCAACATTCGACAGCAGCAGAGACAACATCGACAGCAGCAGAGACAACATCGACAGCAGCAGAGACAACACCGGCAGTAGCAGAAACATCAGCAGCAGCAGCAGGACCAACCACACCAGTCCTCGTCGACGAAGCACCACCAACACCCGCACAACAGCTGAACCCAACTCAACGAGAAGTCCAAAGAAGTGCGAACTTCGTCGCCAGCTTCTACTCCAACTCCGACGCGTATCGACGCTCACCCGGACATCGCGCCTGCGAAGACATCTGGCACGCACGCATGGGACATCCAAGCAACACCGTGTTAAACAATACAATAAGAGCAGGAGTCCTAGACAAGGATTCATTACTACTACCCGACGGCAGAGAACTTCAACGGACACGAGGAACTTGCCTCACCTGCCCCGAAGCCGACTTACCACATCGACCGTTTACTCCTCACCACAACCCGAGCGCACCCGCGTACGCACCACTCGAGAAGGTGTACAGCGATATTCTCTTCAATCGAGAACCAGGACAAGTTACTTACAACTACACGATAACCTTCATCGACGCCGCCACTCGATACGTCTGGCACCTAAACCTACCCAGCCGCGACATGGCACTCGTAGCGTTCGCCGCCTGGCTACCAGTAGCAGAGAGAGAGTCGGGAGCACAGCTGAAAAGCTTCCAGTCAGACGGAGGAGGAGAATACACCTCTCAGCGCTTCAAGCAATACCTGGCGGAAAGAGGAATCAAGCAGCTCCTCTCCCTTC